TTTTCCATAGGTACAAGGAAAACTGGGATTTCAAAATGATTTAATGAACAATAGTAAGATTACAGAGATTATAGGGTAAATAAGTAAATCATGCTAGGAGCACAGAAATATTGAAAGTCTCTGAAAATGCACATATGTATACCCTCAACCTACTATATTACAAATATAGAAAACACAAGAATACACGAGCACATAGTCCATTATTTGTGGAAGTGATGATATCATCACATGTCATGTAGCTTCTGTAAAACTCACTGTATACCTGAGAGAGTAAAAGTGAAAAAGGCAAATAGTATCTTGTTATGAAAATAGTTTTGGCCTTGTGGACTCAATGAATGGGTATTAGAGACCCCCACACTTTGGAAACCACTCTTCTAAGGAATGGAACTAGCAATTGGAAAACTAAGTCTGTATCTGAAGGTTGGGGGAAATATAAACAACAAGAGCAACTTACCCATGAAATAAATACTTCATTAAGCTGGTGAAAAGTTTGTTGGAGTATGATTTTTTGTTAACTTTACAAGAATGCTGGATTAGAATATGATACTTAACTAGATTGAATTTTCAAATTTCGAATTTGATATAGCAGGAAGAAAGTATACAGAATATGGCATGAGCTTTAGAGGCATTTTGCAGTGTATTCTCTAAAGTGTATAACATATTTTCATCAAAATTATTTTTACCTTAGAAAACCTGAGTGTACTAGAGGTTGGTGAGGGCATAGAGATGAATGAGAGAGGGTGAGCATGTATAGGTTAGGTGTTACTGTTGAAAGATTTGAAAGCCAGGTAAAGATAGATATGAGCTTGCGTAATCACTTACGTCAGAATCCATGGAGTCAGAGAAGTGAATAGAGGGTATTCTGTATGCATTGAGATAGTTCTTGCGTGTATACCATTTTGGTAGGCAGAAAGAATGGGGTGGGATGTTCCTTCCACAGGAGGCTTTTAGAGGCATGTAAGGGATGGTAGGCAAGATACGGGCCCAGGGAAAAGGGTCTGAAGTGGATGTAAAGGGAAAGAGCAGAGGGCAAGGTGTGGGTGTTATGGTGGGTGGACTGGATACAAGAGGGCCTCAGAATCAAGAGCGGTCTTCCCAGCAGGGATGTCCAGCCACGGAGTTGGCAACAGCAGTATTTGTTGCTCAATGACTCCTAAATCCATCAGAGGGCACTCTGCTCACACAGGTCCTTTTTATGGACTCTGAGTCACTGTAAAAATGCCAGGTGTAGAATAATACACTTCCAATACAAATCAAGTGACTTGAAAATACAAATAACCCAATAGAACTGACATGGATAAATACTGCTTAGAAATAAAATAGCCTGTTTTAATTATACAAATATCATTCAGTTGCTCAGATCCCAACTAATCAAGCATTCTCAAATAGTTGGAGTTACATTTTGCCACACTCCACTTTGAGCAGAAAGGGGCCAGTGTGAAAGAAACTTATGTAAAGTATTTTCTTTTAAAGTCAATTTAAGCATATAGCCTATTATCCTCTACGTATCCATTCAGCACATATCTGGTGCTTACCACATCCAAGACACTCTATAGTATTTATTGTGGGGATTTAAAATGAGAAAAACATCACATGTGCCTGCATAAACTATAACACAGGAACAAGGGTAATGCTTATGGTCACAGGGGAGTTTAGAGGAGGAAGGGATCCACTCCTAATTGATAAAATAACAATGCTAGCTAATTATTTGGTTCTTATTATATGCCAGAACCTGTTCTCTAGGTTTTACTCATACCATCTCATTCAAACTTCACCATAATCCTGGAAAGTAGATACAGTGATCTGCGTTGTAAAGATTAGGAAATAGAATAACTTGCCTAAAGTTGCACATTCAAAGAGGGGATTCTAACGCAAGTAGTCAGACCCTACAGCAGATGTGCTTAGCGACTGCCTCAAAGAGGCTTCCTAAAGGGGGTAATATTTGAGGTAGACCTTGAAGGGAGGTAAGATTAAGGCACATAATCAGTTTCCACACCTGTAAAATGGGGATAATGATCACACTTCATAGGATTTTTGTAAGGATAAAATGAATTTTTTTAAGGTAAGATACTTAGAACAGTGCCTGGGAATGGTAAGCTCTATAGGGCATTAGCCATTATTAGTAGCAGTAATAGTATTAAACAAAAAGGATGGGAGAAGGCGTCCAGATATAAGTAACAGCTGACCCCAATGCAAGGCATCTTCCTAAGTGCATTAGATTGGAGTTGCTGAAATGCTCTATAGAGAAGAAGGTAGAAAGCTAAGAAAATGATTATGGGAAAATGCATCTTCTTCAGAGACGTTCCTTGATTGCCTTAAAAGGGTCTGTTCTCTTATCCATATCCCCTCCTAGTAATATTGAATTTGCATATTTTCTGTTCCATTAGAGTCCATGTGTCCCATTATTAGATTTAGAGTTTCAGTAGACATGAGGACTGTAATGGCAAAAACAAAAGGTGGCCAGCCTCAGGCAGAGTGGGAGGCAATGGTGGTGCTAGTCTAGCCAGAAGTGTTGGCTGAATGGCCAGGAAGAGCTCTGCTTTGAGGCAGTTTTGCAGGGCTCTGAGAAGGCTGCAGGGACCTCAGGGAAGATCAAGACAATAACAGTTGGTTAGACACAGGTAAGCAGCCTTATATTTTTGTGCGTGTTTTCCCCACTAGCCTGAAAAAAGGATGTCAGCCATGAAAAGGTAACAATCAAATCTATGCTAAGAATAAGTAGTTTACATGAGTTGAACAGTTCCTCTTTCAAGTTACCTCATGTCTTTTCATTGTTTGTTGTATTTCTTGTCTCTTCACATTGATTAAAATGTCTGTTCCACTGGTGTCTCCATATATGTAACTTTCATAAGTGTGATTTATTTCTGAGCAAACTGATGAAAGAGGATAGGAAACAGGCAGAAGAAAGAAAGGAAAACTGAAGAAAGTATGGATGTAAGAATACTAGCTAGAAAGAGAATCTGTATTTACGGAAGCATGGTGACCCTGTTTGTAAAAGACTCAGCAGATGTTCATGGCCTGGCAGGGACCTGGGAACTGGAGCCCAACAGGTAGAACAGCCTTGAGGGACTTAATCGGACTGGGTCTGTGATGTGTGCCTCAACTTCCACCCACTTCCCAGGTCTGCCCCCACCTTCCGGGCTCCCCATGTGCACCCAGCAGCTGCAGTGGCCTTAGCTGCTTATCAGTTCACCAAAAATGAGTATTCCAAGCTAAACTGCAGTGTTCTTACAGAAACTTAAGTGAAGTAAGTGAATTTATTGCTGCCATCAACCTTTCAATATCATAATGGAATATTTTTCTTCAAAACAGTATCGTGCTTACTATGGAGCATTTAAAGAAGTCAAGGAGAAAAATGGAACCTCTGAAGAAAAGGAAGACCTCCGAGCCTTGCGTTTTCTATCTGTGATTTCAATCGTGGACCCTTGGATTTTCATCATTTTTAGAACTTCACTATTTCGGATGTTTTTTCATAGGATTTGCATAAGACCTATTATGTATAAGAATTGGCACAGCAATTCCTGCCAAACTAACATGGAATCCAGTCTGTGACAGTGTTTTACACTCTCTGGTAAGCTGAGGAAAATATCTCATTTTCAGTCAAAGAACCATGGTTTTTTAGAAAATCTCACAATTTAAATTCTTAAAAATTATTTCCCTTAACCAAAGCATCTAAATATATTTTCAAAGGTATTTAACATATCTTAACAATGTGTTGTCACTCTATAGTCATGAACCCCTTCAGTGCATTTTTTCATTTTGTGTTAACAGCATCTAAAATTTCATATATTGTAAACAATGTTAAAAGTCTTAAAGCAATGATATTAATTGTCCTAACAATTGTACTTGGTGGCCCTAATTTTTGGAAAGGTCTTGAGACCTATGCATCTACAGTTATGTGATAGGTGTTTTTAAAAAGCATAACAATTTCTTACCCTACTCATTTCTAGTGAAACCTGATTCTTTCATTTCATATTATAATTGCCCTGTTTATCCTTTGTTCTAAGGATAGCCTAACTTACAGAAGCCCCTAAGAGAAGTGAAGTGGGAAATATGACCAGGTCAGGCAGTTGGAGGGGCCTTCCCCAGCCACCATCTGGGGAGGACTCACTGCCTCATGTGGACACCCAAAGCCATAAGCCACACACAAGGCAACATATGACTATGGCATACATCTCAGACAAGAGAAAATTAATTTTTACCTTTTGAAGTCCAATTTCTTTTGTATTGAGGCAGGGGTGTCAGTAGGAATCAAAATTTGGGAGTAGGCTGCAAAATGTTATTTCAATTTTTGGAACCTCCATTTTACAAAAGTTTTATCATATTGATGGATTCTTTGGTGGAAGGATTTATGCTTCTTTGAAAAACAGTGATGTGAGACTTACCGGAGAACCATGTTTACTGTTTGGCTGTGTGAAGCAGCCTGGCATTGGCAAGAGTGAAAAGCCCACCCAGGACTTAGTTGAGGGTGGTGACAATGGCATTAACATCTACCGTAACAGCTACCTATTACAGCCATATTCTGATCTTTGTGGAAACAGTAAGATCTTATTGAGGTTCCAGAGAGCTACACTTTCAAAACTGGAGCCGGATGTAGCTCAGAAGGAACTGAGCACTTTAACTGTAATTTAAAAGTTTACAAAGGTTAGCAACGTGCAGACCTAAAGGGAAGAGTGGAGAAAAGCAGCTGCAGCTGAAAAGGAGATTGTAAACCCAGTGTACAGGTAAGAGCTTTCACCTTGGGTAAAAGAACAGGTAGGGAGGGGAGAGGGGTTTCAGCATCTCTGGAGATGCTTTGTACCCAACACACTCGGCCTCCGAGATGTAGAGCCTGCTACATTTGAGGAGTCTTGACACCTCCAACCAGCAACCCCTTCCAAAGACAAGAGTATAAGTATTTACCTTATTTCCAGCTTAGCAGCAGCCTCATTTTTTTCACCTCTGGTTCTTCCAGTATCTCAGAGATGGAATAAACCTGGAGATAGATATATATACAAAACATATTACATATATATATGTAATTTTTTTTGTATAGCAAAACTGTGAAAAAGCCAAATCAGGAATACAAGAAGTATAATTTGAGAGTATGACATGATGAAAAAATGTAATTGTTTTTGAAGTTTCATTTGTATGTTTAATATATAAGTATATGTGTGTTTTATTGTCAGAGGAAGTGCATCATTTTTGTACTCTCCTTTTGGCAGGTGTGTTATGATAACTGTCCAGATAACTTGAAAAGGTCCCAGATGAATCAATAAACATAATTTTATAATATTTTGCAGAGGAAATGACTTTTCTTCAAATGAAAGGAAAAGGCTTGGTTTTCTTTTTTGAGCAAACGGTTGCCGGCGATATTTCATTCCCTAGCAATTTAATAGTGTGAATTTTTATATATTGTCCTATTAGCATTTATATGATTTTAAACAAGTTGTCAGATTTATTTAAGGACTTAGTGCTCCTCTTTGTTTTTTTCCAAAATATAGATATACCATCTTGATGAAATCCATGTTAAAATCAACTCCAGTGATCTTCAGTGATTTATTCATTAGTTCATTAAATAATTGGCACAGACCCTGTGCCAAGCAGTTGGTTAGGTACTGAGGAAAAGAATAAATAATACTCAGACCTGGTTCTGCTTATTATCCTCTGGGGGAGACAAGAATGTAAACAGGTACAATACAGCATAGAAATTGTCAGTAGTAAATGCACACACAGAGTACTTTTCAAAGAGGAGGCCCAAACTAGGGATGATATGTAGAGTTGTCAGGAGAACTCCACAGGGAGAAGATGCTTAAGTTAGGTATTGAAAATGGGTAGGAGTTTTGACTCCAATTGAAAACTAAAAAGAACACAAAAAAATAGTTTATATGAGAGGAAATACATATGGTTAATAAATATTTAAAAAATCCAGCCTAATCAAAGAAATGCAAAAATAAAGTCAAATTATCAAGGACCAACAAAAAAATTATGACTCAATAACAAAGAGGTTATTCTGAGAGGAACATTCATGGTTCCCTGGTGAGTTTGTAAATTTGTACACCCTTTCTTGATAGCAACCTGACAGTGTATCAAGAGCCTAAAGTGTTCTTTTCTATTGCTACAGTAATTCCACTCTAAAATTCTCTCCCAAAAAACAATCAGTGGTCCTAGACAAGCAGCAGTATCCTCACCTGGAACTTACAAGAAATGCAGATTATCTGGCCCCCACTCTGACCTACTGAATCAGAATCTCTAGGGTGAGGCCAGCAATCCATGCTTTAACATGCCCTTCAGGAGATTCTCAAGCATGTTAAAATTTGAGAACCACTGCTCCACACAAAAAATAAAAAGGGAAAAATAAAGACAAGAAAATATGCAATACACTCCAGTTCTGTTTCTCTGACCTCTGATTCTCAGATCGTTTCAGTTGCAAGTAATCACTCACACCTGAACTCTCATAGTATTTTATCTATAACGTTCTTAAGGAAGTTACAGCTTTTAATTATCTTTACTGGCAGCAATCACTGATTTCTTTCCCATGTTTAAAGTTCTGATTGCAGTGATGAGACCTGTCTCACCTACTTGGCCCATGGAAGTAAAGATGCTCCCTCATATATGCTGTTTCTTTGGCCTCTTGTGGACACTTTTTGGGCCTAAGCCTGACAGTTTTTCCATGTGAAAGAAAACACACTAAAGAGGCTTCATTCACAAAAATGTTTTCAGAGATTATATCTAAAATGAGCTTTCATTAAGGATTTAATAATATTTTTTTAGTTCTCTATAGGATAGAAATCACCATTAAAATATGTAAAGCTTTTTCTAAACTTTTTTAATTTGACCTTTTTGTATATTTACAGGAATACATTATACATTTAATCTCCCTTTCCATGCATTAAAAGCCTGGAGGACTAGTTAATCACTAGTTAGTCACCTAGTTAGTTTCTTACTTCTCCTAGTAACTAAGATATATACTGTAGAAGGCTTATAAATATACTATAAACATATATTGAACAAAAGGTGTTCTCTCTCCTGATATCCCCGAAACATAAGTATATTTAATAAGAGGCTGCTATGACTTGGTCATAGTTTCCTCTGTACCTAATAAATGTTCTCATTCCAGCATATAAAGACTTTTCTCTTAGGCCATCCAAAGGTGAAAATAATAAATGCAGGAGAAAATATTTTTGCTCTTGTCATAGACATTATGGAAATTAACATCATATATGTTTAAATTTTATCTAGGAAATATCAACTCATAGTTAACAAAATTAATAATATAAAAAGTTTGCATATTAGGCAATTTTAACGTTGTAAAACAACTTTGTCATATGGAAACTGTTGAGTGGCCTTCTCTTGTCATTATTCTCTTGAGTGAGGTGAGAATTGCTGGTCTGGGTGTTCCCAGCATGGCCTCTAGGTGGGGAAAGCTGCACTCGCAGGGGGAGGTACTGTGACTAGGGCTTCCTCTCCCTGCCTTTCCACAATTGCCTAAGTCAGTGGAATGAATCAGCAGGTCTCACCTGATATCAGTCAGGTGAACATTCCAATCTTCCAGACAATTTAAAAAACTACACAAACTCAAGAGTCAGTTCACTCTTTAAAATCTTTGCAGTGAAAGTGTATAGAGACCTATCATGCTCTCGTTACAGAGGGTATGAAATCAAATGTAGGGAGAAGAAATAAGCTTGATTTTATTTTGTTTGCTATGATACTTAAATGCTTAAACCAGAGAGGACAATAAAGCGTAGTCAAGTCAAATATGATAAGAAAGTATTTTAAGTCAGGTACATAGGGTCTTACAATGATCCAAATCTTATGAAAGCATTTGTAATCTAATTGGAAACACAGGACAAACTAGAAGTTAAAAATCATACAATGTGATGCAAATGTTACCAAGTGATACAGTATGGGGCATAGCTTTTAAAACAACAAAGCCCCAAATCAGAGATAATTCATGTTTAAAATTAGTCTAGCAGTGCATTATATAGAGACCGGGGCAAACAGTGAAGTTGGTAGCTTGCCAACAATTTCTTATCACTACAAAGTAGCATATGGAAATGTAAGTACCACAAAACACAATTCATAATGAATTGGAAAAGACTTCTTTTGTTCTCTCCAAATCCCAGAGTTCTCAATTAGATAAAGTGCAATGATTTACTGATTATGACTGATACATCCAAAATAAAAATGAACCCCCACAAAATTAAAGATAAAAAGGGACCAAAGATCTATTCTTTGAATGTGAAAAAAAAGTTATATTAGGCAAAGTAGAATTTAAGGCAGTAAGTTTTAAGTGGTTAAATGGTTAAAAAATGGTTATGACTGTAAGATACAATCAGTGGTGAATTTACAGCACTTGGGTTATTTTCACCAAATAACATGGCAATAAAAGTACAGAGGAAAACACTTTAGAAACATGAGAAATCAAAATAACACTATTATCATGGATGATTTTCATGCCTCACCATCAATCAAGGTAGATCAAATAGACAAAAAGACATTTGTTTAAATATATTTATATTTTTGTTGCCACAGCACTAAAAACTCAAATGGAATTTTATCAAATTGGCAGG